ATATTTAAAGACAGTATAACTTTTATAATAACAATGCATATCTAAAAATGAAAAGCGAACACATCAGCCTTAATTCCACTATTCTAACCCATTCAATACTGATTCTTCCTATTGAATAGACTTGTAATAAATTAAACAGACTTGTTTACTGTTTTGCACAAACCTGCCAGCAACTATTCAATTACAAGCAATTGAATGGACTTGTAATAAAAACAGATTGCTAGTAGCTTTAGCAGTCACATCTATTAGGAAACTTGATTCTAATATACTGTTGCAAATTTCTTTTTATTATGAAAGAAAGATTCTTAATACATGATTCACTAGAAGTTAAGGAGAATAGTTAAAATGTAGACTGGAACTTTCAGTGCCATCCACCTTTGAGAATGCATTTGCTCACAATTTCTGATAAAACTATACTTTGGAAGGAGAAGGCAAAAAGCAAACTCTTCAACTTGATATGATTCAAAAGACCTGGAGGTCTCTATAGAAACACAGGTACATAAGAGTTATGCATGTATTTATATAAATTTGTAAAGCTCCTCTGAATGTGGATATCATCTGTGATTCTTTCTCCAAAACAGAGCTAGCCTGCAGAGGAAAAAAATGTAGGTAGTAGATTGACAATTTCATAAGAGTTGTCGTTTGGTAAAATAAGTTTCTATTGCTTGTCATAATACCCCAAAATAAACAGAAACAAGAAATTGCCTGCAGGCTGTCTATTAAGATTTACCCATGTTTTCTGGGAGGATGAACACTGGCACATAACAGAAATGCATCTTATTTTGATAAAATGATATTTCTTAGCATAGTCTTGCAACAGTGGCTCAAAAAATAAATGTTATGGGGTTAGAAGTAGATTTAGGACGGAGTATGGAGTGACAGCAGAGACGGCAAGGCAAGTTTGGGGGTGGGGGTGGCTATGAAAGAGCCGGGCACCAGAAGTCATTGGTTGCAAGGAGCTTGTTAAAAGTCTTTAAAATAAATCTACTTTATTATTGTTCCTACCAATGCTCACAGACAGAATTGCATCTCTTTCACGCAATTATCCATTCACTCAGCAAAATTTCATTGAGCACATACTGTGTCACAAGCCTGAGGGTAGATAAAAGGAGTATATTTGTAGAAGATTAAGACACAGACTGTGCCTTTGAAAGTGAGTGCATTGGAAATTCAATGAGGTCAAGTGTCTGCTGCTTCCTGCCCCAGAGCAGCCCTTGTTAAGCTCACTTGGAGCTTTCCCTTCATTTCCTGAAGGGACTCAGCAAGTCCCTAAGCTGCCAGGAGCATATGGCAGTTTACACAATCTGACTTCAGACTGCTGGAGCAGCTCACGTGCCCAGCTGCTTGGACAGCAACAAGGAAGGCAGCTGTGCAAGCCCACAGGCCTTGCTGGGCCACCCAGGAGCTCTCCTGGAGGGAGAAGCCGGAGTTACAGCCCACCTGGCTACGGCAGGACACTGAGAGGTCAAGCCGGGAAGGGCCAGACCCTACAAGCCATCACCTTTAATACTGAGTGTGCAAGATGGGGCTTTGGGGGAGCATTCTGGGGCCCAAGTAAACTCTTGACCTTACTGATCCTTATTTACATTGCCTTTTTTTTTTTTTTTACATTTGCCAGTTTCTATAGCACTTTTCTCATTTTCCTGATTTATCCTAGTATTTATTAAACACTTGCATCTTTTTTTGATCCTTCATATGCTTTTATTCATTTTTTCATTTTTGGAACTTTTTATTTTGTATTGGGATANCAGCTCTTCACATCAGGTGGCCAAAGTATTGAAGTTTCAGCTTCAACATCAATCCTTCCAATGAATATTCAGGATTAATTTCCTTTAGGATGGACTGGTTGGATCTCCTTGCAGTCCAAGGGACTCTCAAGAGTCTTCTCCAACACCACAGTTCAAAAGCATCAATTCTTTGGCACTCAGATTTCTTTATAATCCAACTCTCACATTCATACATGACTACTGGAAAAAGTGACACATGGATCCCACTAAACAATATTACCATTATGTTGTGCAAATTGACATTTGAATGTAGGCTTTTCTCACTCCAAAACTCAAAAATAAACTCTCCTATTATAATAAATTATAAGAAAATAGGATAATGGACTATTCACTTAAAAAAGCTTTAAAAGTAGGCTTTAAGTATGATTCTTTTCTGCAATTTAAATGTCTGTCTTTTTTTTTTTTCCTTTTTACAATCCCATGTAATCATTCACCTTGTATGCTTTTGCTTTTTTAACTCCATTTTAATTTTTGACAAGTTTGAAAAAAGATGTCTGTATTAACTATGATATAGGCTATGTTGCTCTAACAAACAGGTCCAAAACACACTGACTTCAATGAGATAGAAGCCTACTTCTTTCTCATGCAACAGTGTACATCTGAGGGGTCCAGGTTAGCCAACCCACTCAGCTCCACAAGCCATACAGGAAATCCAGACTGAAGCTGGATGTTGGTCTAGGTTTCAGTCCAGAAGACCAAGAAGAAGACAAGTAGAGGGTAAGTAACATTCTTCAAGAAACTGACACAGAAGTTTGTCAGTTCCAAGCATCACATTCACCTACATTCCAGGCACTCCGCCAAGTGGCAAAGGAGGCTAAGAAGTGTAGTTTCTATCTGAGCAGTCATACGCCCAGATAGAACACTCTATGGAAGGCAATTTGAGAAGAGAAAAAAAGTCATGTGTCTGGAGAAATGTAGAGCTGACTTTAAGTTATATAGCTATATCATGCCCCTCCAATAACTTGTTTTTTGTTTTTTTTTTAATATGTAACTGAATGAATTGACCAGTAAGGCTATAGGCTTGACAATCTTTCGGGGGCACAATTTTTGAAGTCTATAGCAAGCACCCCTTTAAGACAGAGTAATAGGTTCTCCTGGAGTACATCTTCTTTGAGTACTACAGATAGAAGTATTTTCTCTCTATTTTATGAATCATTAATGCTTTATATCAAGAACTTATTAATATGCCTATCTTTAGGCATCAATATTTCAAGAACCTATTAATATGCCTATCTTAAGACATTAATGTTTTATTTCAAGAACCTATTAATATGCCTATCTTTAGGCATTAGTGCTTTATTTCAAGAACCTATTAATATTATCTTCTTCTCATGAGAAAGGGTACTGACTGACTTATTTGAAAACCTCAGGAGAGTATCAGTAAGTCTGCATATGTTAGAAGATTAATATTGAATAAATGAATGAGTAAACTGAAATATATAACATAAATATGTTTATATATGCTATATATAATATATAAAATAAGTGTATATTATATATTAAAAAACATATGTGTATTTCTATAAATGTAGGTTAAGTTGATTCATTTATTGAGTATATTTTGTGGGCTGTTGTGAGAAGACAATGAACCATGAAAGAGGAACAGATCTCCCCCTACCCCAATGCACTGTTTAAAAATACTCAGATAAATTTATTCCCATATTGGGTATGTTCTTGATTCCCAGAGGTATATAAAATCTTTTAGTTATGTACATAGCAAATAACAATGCTTGGGCACCTTCAAGGTCAAGATAGATAGTTCTTGATAGCTTTTAATAAAAGACTGTTTCTCTTAGCCATCTCCTGCATTTGTCCTCATTACCAGCTGAGTCTTTGAAAGGTTTGTGATTCAAGTTTACAGGAAGTGTCTCGCCTTCCTAAAGCAGTTTATGAGAACTTAAGAGGTTTCCCCTTTCCTCTCTTTTCCTGAAATTTCAGTCTCTTAAAAAAAAGAATTGTTTGTTTTTAATTTTCATTTCCTTGGCAAGCTGTCTTACTTTTTTTTTTTTTTCCCAGAAATGTCTTTCCCTCTTCTCCAATCCCTTCCCCAGGTAACAGTGATTTGAGCTTCTTTCCCCCAAGTTTTGGCCTTTGTTTCTCAGCTACAGTGTAATGCAATGTCCTCCTCCAAATGTTTTGACCTCAAACTAAGTTTCAGGGTAATCTCTCATGTTGCTCATTCTGTTATATATTATCACATTATATATCCAAGGAAATGGATGTATTGCAATTTGCTTATAATAACCTGCAACTTGACAAATATAGCTAAGATGATCTAGAATGTCTTTAATAGTTTCAAAGGAGACATTTAGAACACATAAAAGTAGTTGGCCATTTGTATATCTGGCAGAAATTATTTGCTTTGGTGAATGCAACTTATATTTTTCTTAGAACAATCTTGGCTATATTTATTCTTAGTGAAATTATTTTCCAATCAAATATATGTCATTTGGTAAATAGCTTTTCCTAAAAAGAGACTGTCACATTAGTAAAGTTCAGTGAAATATTCCCTGTGTCTATATATTGCATATAAATTTTGTTCTGTGTGTATGTATATTTAGACATTAAATGTATATGAATCTGAGTTTTTTGCTGTTCCTTAGTCACATCTTTATCTATCGCAGAACCTAAAACAAAAATATATATGTTGAATATCTGTTTGTTGAATAAGGAACATTCTTTCATTCACTAAACTGAGCATCCACTGTATGCCCAGCGTTATACAAGCATTGACAAATCAAAGTGAATAAAACAGTCTTTGCCTTTAGGAGTTCACAATATAACTGAGGAGAGACAATTGTGGTTATTATGATAGACTGCCCCATGATTGTGTTAAAGTGAACTGATCCTGGATTTAATTGGTCCAGACATGCATCTAGATCTGGGTAGTGAATATTTTAAAAGAGAAATCATAGTTTTCTAGACAAAGAAAACTAGGATGGAGTTGTACACAGAGTACATATCTGGGAGTCCAAACTCTGTAAAAAAATGTAAACATTGTTAAGTTTCTAAAATTATTAAAGGTAATCATGAAGATGAAATAGTCATGCTCATGTTCATTAAATTATGCTTTACTGAAGTGAATAGCATGTTGAAGGTGGTGTGATTCACAGGGGAGCAAGTAAATGCCCAGTGTTGATGTCATTGCTTTTGCTATTGAAATAAAGCCTTTGGAACCTTAAATATCTCTCAGATATTGTGCCCTTCCTTAATGTGGTGTATGAACGCAGAGAATGACATGACTTGGGACTATGGAATTGAAGCTGCTTATAAAAACTCAGCCTAGTTATGTCCCCTTACACAAAGGGTATGGGCACTGAAGCCAGACAATCCCAAGCAAATATAGTGGGTCTTTATCAGGGGAGTAATCTTAGGTAAGTACCATAAAGTCACTGGGATTCACAGTCCTCAACTTTGAGAGACCAAGAGTAACTAGCTCAGAGTGAGGATTAAATATGATAAACTATCTGTATTAGTCAGAGTTCTTCAGATAAATAGAATAAATAGAATGTGTGTGTGTGTGTGTGTGTGTGCACGTGTGTGTATACACTGTTGGTTCTGTGTGTATATATGTACATATATATACACATTCTAAGAGATTTATTTTAAAGAATTGGCTCAGCTTACTATGGAGTCTAATAAGTTCCCAAATCATAAGGGCAAGTCAGTAAGCTGGAGACCCAGAAAAGCCCATGATGTATTCCTTTCTAAATCAGGCCTGAGGACTGGGAGAACCAGTGGGGCAGGTCCATTTCAAAAGCTGGCAGTCTCAAGACCCAGAAAGAGCTGATGTTTCTTTTCAAATCTGAAGGCAGGAAAAAACCCAGTGTTCCAGTCTGAAGGCAGTCAGGCAGGAAGAATGCTTTCCTGAGGAGGTGCAGATATTTTGTTCCATTCAGGCCTTCAGTTTATTGGATGATGCCCACCCATACTGGGGCGGGGTGGCAGGGTAGCAATCTACTTTACTCAGTTGACAAATTTAAAGGTTAATTTCATATAAACACATGCTCATAGCCAACACCCAGAATACGGTTTGACCAAATATCTGGGCACCCCATAGCCCAATAAAGTTGACACATAAAATTGACTATCACAATATCTAAAGTTCCTTTCACAGTGACTGAAATAGAGCTTTATAAAGATTTTAAATAAATGAAAGAATAAATAAAACCATGATTAAAAACAAAGGTAAATGGCTTTCTTAATCATTGTTTCACAAGAAAAAGGAAGAAATTGGCAACACATAAACAAATATTCATGTAGAAGCTAAAAATCACTTTAGGAGGGTGAGATAGAAGAGTAAGAAGGAGGAACTAATGTCAGGAATTTACTTTAAAGTACACGGTATTATCATAGTTTTCCTGGGAGGGAATATGGCACGCAATCAACCACAGCAGAGCACAGAATGAGAAAATCAACTTGTGGCCAACCCAAAGGACAACTTCATAACCACAGTCTGGGATGCTTGATGAGCCATAAATTCTAGTGGAAATCCAACATGGAAATGAAGGGAAGTCGTGTGTTCAGTGCTGTGGATTCTATACTCAAAAATTCCTATAAGACAACAGATAAGGCATCAAAACCATAGAGGATTGTTAAGACTAAATTTTCCCCCGAGAAATAAAGGGAACTGCTTATGGAAAACAGAGCTTCCCTGGTGGCTCAGATGCTTAAGAATCTGCCTGCAATGCAGAAGACCTGGGTTCGATCCCTGGATTGAGAAGATCCCTTGAAGAAGGAAATTGCAACCCACTCCAGCATTCTTGCCTGGAGAATCCCATGGACAGAGGAACCTGGCAGGCTACAGTCCATGGGGTTGCAGAGAATCAGACACAACCAAATGATCAACACTTTACAGAAAAGAAGCTGTAGACATGGGTGTGGTATGGGATATTTTTTTAACAGATCCTATTATTTTGACTTGAATACATCTGAATGTTTTATACTTATTCAGTGCCTGCTAGCACCAGACATTATGCTGATTACTATCATTGGTGTTCCATTCATACATAAACATTGTAAGTTACATGTAGATATCCATCTTACAGATGAAGATATTGGACCTTAGAGAAGCAAAGGTTAAAGCCACGTATTTAGAGAAGACTGGATCAAACCCAAGTCCTCCTATTCCAACATCAGAATATTAAATATTAAATATTAAAATCTAGGCATTTTTTACAGGCCCTCTGTTGTTGCATGAAGTATGACAATAGGGATGAATCTTTTAAAAGATCCTTGAAAGCTCTACAAGCTACAAAATATCTGGCTTTCTAACTACTTGGATAAAATAACACTTGTGCCTGTATTTTATCACGTGTATACAGAGCAAAATAGAAAAATCTTTTCCAAAAGATGCATCATGAAGCCCAGTTGGACCATCTATCACGGGGAAAGGGAAAATTTAGCATTTGTTTTGACATAGTAGGAGGAGATGGGGAAGAAATGCTTCCTTACAATGTCTCAAATTCTCCTTTGTGGTTAAATTAATGCCACACGTGCTTGACAGTATTCTTCAATGACTATAAACATGGGCTTTGGTACTATTTTAGAACAAAGGTGACTAAAGAGACATGAAAACTAGATATTTAGATCCTGGATTGAGGAAATATGTCAACAGTGACTACTATGGGGCTACTTGCTGGTTTCAACAAAGCCCAAATGCAGTACATTTTTAACAATTGATGAACCCAGGCAAAGGGAATATTGTTTTTTGTTTCTTGTGTACCATTCTGTTAATTTTAATTTCATCAAAATAAAAATTTTGGAGATAAAACCAAAAATAAAATAGGCCAAAATAACTCTGCTCCAAAAGAGTATAGGTTTTGTAGCTGGTTAGATGTGGTTTGAATAGCAGCTATGCCATTTGCTAGATATGTGACTTTTAAATAAAAATTATTTAAACTTTTAAAGTTTCAATGTTATCGCAATAATTGATATAAAAAATCAATCACACAAATATGTTATATGAATTGAATGAATTATTTCCTATAAAACATGTAATAGAATTCAATATATAGTATAAAAAATGTCTCATGATAATTTTGCTTCTGTGTGCTGCAGCTGCTCAGGCATCTCTGGCTCTTTTGTGATCCCATGGACTGTAGCCCAAGGGGTTCCTCTGTCCATGGAATTTTACAGGCAGAAATACTCGGGTATTAAGAATCTGCCTGCAATGCAGAAGACCTGGGTTCGATCCCTGGATTGAGAAGATCCCTTGAAGAAGGAAATTGCAACCCACTCCAGCATTCTTGCCTGGAGAATCCCATGGACAGAGGAACCTGGCAGGCTACAGTCCATGGGGTTGCAGAGAATCAGACACAACCAAATGATCAACACTTTACAGAAAAGAAGCTGTAGACATGGGTGTGGTATGGGATATTTTTTTAACAGATCCTATTATTTTGACTTGAATACATCTGAATGTTTTATACTTATTCAGTGCCTGCTAGCACCAGACATTATGCTGATTACTATCATTGGTGTTCCATTCATACATAAACATTGTAAGTTACATGTAGATATCCATCTTACAGATGAAGATATTGGACCTTAGAGAAGCAAAGGTTAAAGCCACGTATTTAGAGAAGACTGGATCAAACCCAAGTCCTCCTATTCCAACATCAGAATATTAAATATTAAATATTAAAATCTAGGCATTTTTTACAGGCCCTCTGTTGTTGCATGAAGTATGACAATAGGGATGAATCTTTTAAAAGATCCTTGAAAGCTCTACAAGCTACAAAATATCTGGCTTTCTAACTACTTGGATAAAATAACACTTGTGCCTGTATTTTATCACGTGTATACAGAGCAAAATAGAAAAATCTTTTCCAAAAGATGCATCATGAAGCCCAGTTGGACCATCTATCACGGGGAAAGGGAAAATTTAGCATTTGTTTTGACATAGTAGGAGGAGATGGGGAAGAAATGCTTCCTTACAATGTCTCAAATTCTCCTTTGTGGTTAAATTAATGCCACACGTGCTTGACAGTATTCTTCAATGACTATAAACATGGGCTTTGGTACTATTTTAGAACAAAGGTGACTAAAGAGACATGAAAACTAGATATTTAGATCCTGGATTGAGGAAATATGTCAACAGTGACTACTATGGGGCTACTTGCTGGTTTCAACAAAGCCCAAATGCAGTACATTTTTAACAATTGATGAACCCAGGCAAAGGGAATATTGTTTTTTGTTTCTTGTGTACCATTCTGTTAATTTTAATTTCATCAAAATAAAAATTTTGGAGATAAAACCAAAAATAAAATAGGCCAAAATAACTCTGCTCCAAAAGAGTATAGGTTTTGTAGCTGGTTAGATGTGGTTTGAATAGCAGCTATGCCATTTGCTAGATATGTGACTTTTAAATAAAAATTATTTAAACTTTTAAAGTTTCAATGTTATCACAATAATTGATATAAAAAAATCAATCACACAAATATGTTATATGAATTGAATGAATTATTTCCTATAAAACATGTAATAGAATTCAATATATAGTATAAAAAATGTCTCATGATAATTTTGCTTCTGTGTGCTGCAGCTGCTCAGGCATCTCTGGCTCTTTTGTGATCCCATGGACTGTAGCCCAAGGGGTTCCTCTGTCCATGGAATTTTACAGGCAGAAATACTCGGGTAGGTTGCTATTTCCTTCTTGGGGGGATCTTCCCAATCCAAGGATCAAACTCGCATCTCTTTCATCTCCTGTATTGGCAGGTGGATTCTTTACCACTGTGCCACCTGGGAAGCACACGTGTCATGTAATAATTATAATAATAAATATCCCTTTCATGACTTTAACTTGCCTATATTATCAGAACAATTGTTTAACTTTTTTCTCAGGGGGAACTGTCTCAGAATTACTGTGAAAATATTTTTACTGCATCTAAACTTCTTAAAACATCAAGTTTGATCTCAGAAATTGTCAAGGTATATCATACACTACACTTTCAATCATTGTATACCTCTTTGTGAAAAACCATGGAGTTATTTTTATAAAGTTAATAAAAACTTCTAGAAATTGTGAACAGCTCTGTTGTATAGATTTCACTCTTCTCCCTAGTAGTGTTTGTCAAAATGAGGCCTTTTCCCACAGGAAAAACTGTGAGAAAACCCAGCTTCTCCCCAGCTACTGTTTGATACCTTTTCCCTTTTAGTGAGACAGCTAAATAAGCCAGAAGATCTGCTACCTACATTCTAAAAAAATATGGTTGGTGTGAAAAATAACACAAATTGCTAGCAAAATTATTGTAAATAATGACTATCAGCTGTCATATCTTTATGCTTTCAGTTACTATATGATCACTTTTGTGTAGCCTTCTTTAAAAAAAACTTACAGAGGTAGGCAATGGATTAGTGGTTGCCAGGGATT